AAAGCAGTTTAGACGCTTTTCAAGAAAATTTGGAAGGAAGTCAACAAATTATTTTTGCGAGCAAGAAATTGTCGAATTTTGATTGAACAAGTTCGAATTTTCAAATTTCGCCGCTCTTGATAATTCATCGCATGTGTCAAAATAATGTCAAAAAGGCCTGAATCCTAACACGTTGATTTCCACGGGCGATCGGGCCGGCTGAGAGACGTCAGCTTACTAATATTGTTACTCTCTTAATTTCCAGTTGAGGACAGGCGGCAATGATTGCAAAGCAGATTTGCCGGCTTTTACAAAGGGGGCGAAAAACGTTTTACAAATCATGAGAAAAAAGAAGAAAATAATTACATCAATTTGGCTAGGAAACCTGTGTCAAAAACCTGAGTCAGGTTCTGAAAAGCCGCGTAGCGGCTTCGTTTTTAAAATACCCGCAAAGGGCGTCTAGATTCATGCTCTTCAAGACCTTGACTCAGGTTTTGGACACAGGTTGACGAGCTCATGATTTCAAATTGACCTTGACTCAGGTCTTCTTCAGGGGTTGCCGGTATAAGATACCGATGATTTTTGATGATTACCTCGAAAACAAAAGCCCGAATTAGCGACATCGAGCGAGCAGATATCATTTTCTTTGTGCTCGGAGGACCCCCCCTGCTGGAAGAAATTTAAGTAAAAGAAGAATAAACTCTTCTGGAGAATTTGCTTTATTTCGGGATATTTACAGTCAGAGGTTGAGGAATATATAAAAATTTCAATTTTTTCTAAAGTCGATACTTATGTCGTAACTTTGCTAAAAAACCGGGGTCGGAAAATGTGATCCAGGAAGATCCAGCTTTTGCTCGTCTCATTGCCAAAATAAGACGCTTCCCCTTCATAACGGGATGATTTTGGAAAGAAAAAAATGAATCCGGATTGATGCTTCTCCCGAGAACGAGATTCTGGACATGTCACATGTGTCGTGCCGCCATGTTTAAAAGGCGATCTGAGATTTCCGCGACGGAAGTAAAAAAACGGAAAAGGATAATTTCTGTTTGTTTTTGTCCAACTCTTCTCAGGGGGCGAAGAAAGAAGGAATTTCAGGCGAATGGAAACAGGAATTAGAGAAACGTGCAGCTGAGCGATTTTCTGATAAGATGAAAGTTTTCGAATTCCGGATTGAGCAGAGCCCCAGTCCCGCCTTTTTCGAAGAGATCGCTTTTCGTAATGCTCATTTTTCTGTTTTTTTTTTCAAAAGCATCAATAACAATTCAATAGTGATAAAAAAGTTCACTTATTTGAAGCTGACTTTCGCGTTTTATGTAACTCTTCCGGGAGTAACTGCATGTTTTCAAAACACCACCTGCTGACATAATTTTCGCACATCCTCAATTGTTTTACTAGAAAAGGAGTTATTATTTGTTGAAAAAAATGACACTTGTGATAAAGTAACATGGCTAAATCAAGGTGCAAATAAATTAGAATCAAGCAAAATTGATCAAATTAAAGGTTTAATTACGCGCTACGTTTATTGGCAAAATGATCTGTAGTTAGAAAAGCAAAGTGAAAGGCGATAAGGGCTGAGTGGAACATGATCAAGAAAGCTGCGACATGAATGGAGGCGAGGCGACGCGGAAACATTTTCAAAGGACACGAAAACGTCAAAAGAACATGACTTCTTTAAAAATTGCTCTTCACGTTTTTTGACCATCTCATCGGACGATAAGCCCTTAATTTTCATTTGAAGCATTAAACGAAACTTTTTAGAAATAAGGGTATCAGTGATACCGTATCACTCTGTTAACGGAAAAAAAGGTTAAGTCCCTTTTTAGGGACTAAAACAATTCGTGGAAGCTTATTTTTGGATGACCAATAAGATTGCTGTATTTGGCCTATCAGCCAATCAAAACCCAGATCTATAAAATCACTTTCATAAATTGGTTCAACCTTTTTGAAGATATTACTTTGGAACTTATAAAGAATTATCAAGAAAAGATTTTGAGGTTTGAAGATTAATAATCTTGGTTCAGGCAAATACAGAGTATTCGCTTTCCAAAAGGTATTCACTTGCCGGAAAGAATATATGGTAATTTTGGTGAGACGGAATTAAATAATGAGATGGCACTTTTCCTTCTCACGTTTTCTAGTTCATCTTATTCTATACCCCAGAATCTGTGATTTACAGCGAAGGATACTAAGACTGTTTTTCTTCAATTCAAAATCTTCTGTCACGTGGCATAAGTGACCCCAGCGCGGGGATAATCCCGCTCGTGACTTAAAAAAGATAAAACCGAGGAGAGTACAGATGGAAAATATCAAATTTGCGACAGTGTCTCTGCTACAATCTGTGTTTTTTATTTACGTCTTCTGCATAAAAACTGTACTTCAAATGCGTTTCTTCAAGTTTCTGAAAAATAATTTTATATCATTCTCGAAAAATGATGTGTTTTATGGGAAGTCCAGCTCGCCCGCAAAATTCGTAGCGATGGAGTTTAGCTGAAGTTCATTGGGAAATAAAAATGTGTGTTACAGAATGCTCTTACTTAGAAAACGGAAAGGAGAACACTTGGCGGAACAAGAATTTGAGGTTGAAAAACCATTTTTTAGTTTACTAAATAACATGAATTAAGGGCTTCACTTACCTTGACTGAACAATCGTACAGTAGGATACCAAAGGAACAAATTTCAAAAAAAGAAAATTAAGGGGGTATCTTCGTAAAAAAATTTTGAAGATGAATTCGCTCCATCAAGAGAAAAAATACTGAAATTCTTGTCAAACAAGCACAACAATGCCCTGAATCTACGTCATTTTTTCTGTTTTGCACCCTGTTGATCTATTCACTCAAAGCATAGAAAAAGCGCTCGTCTTGTCAAAACTGCCAGTCGATGCAAATCAAAGACTGGTTCAGCCAGGAGACAATCAATGAAGGTAATTATTAAAAGCCCTTCTTCTTTTTCTCGATCTTGATTTTCCGAGCAGACAGAATTTCTAATCAAAAATAGAGAGAAAAAGACAGAAGTAAAGATTAAGGATCATGAGTTTTAAGCTGGCCGCGTGTTGTTTCGGAACTGGAAAGGTAATCAAGAAATTTCCTATCTCAAGTCCACTAAAAAGGTTTCGCGAGTAAGTTAAAGAATAGAGAGAGTATGGCAATGTTTTTACAACCAGTTCAGGTAGCTAACAATTTTTTTGCGAATATAATAAATGAATCAATTATTAACTAAGTTAAAAATTGATAAACAACAGTCTTTTTGATTCTTTATGGTTCGTTTTACCTTACAATCTCGAATCTAAAGTGTTGATTCTTCAAAACAGAAATAAGAACGGAACGTAGCCACGCACGAGACGTAGCAAAAGTAAATTTACTGAGGTCTCTTTACTCTTTCCAATCGTCCCCTATCGATTGTTCCATTTCCTCATTCTTATTTTTCCATTCTAAAGTGCTCGGATAATACTCCTTCTTTCAAATTTAACTCTCGTCAAGGCTATATTCAATTCGATTGTCTACTAAATATAAATTGCTCGATTAAAAATGCATCAATTAAGTCATCGTTTTTCGTAAAAAGATAGATAAGTGAGCCCCTTAAAAGTTGCCCGTTGTCCATTTTCAACAATAAAATGGGATCGCTTGAAAGTCCTCCGGCGAAAGTTTTCAGTATCCATATTGGATGACACGCTCGATTTGCTTCCTATCAAATAAATAATTCCGCGGCGCTTTTCTTTCAATTTTCCTTTCTTCCGAAAGTCATTTTTTCCATTTTTCTATTTGACGAAGCTTTCGATTTCCAAAATTTATCCAACGCGGAGCTCGTGATTTGATTTTTTTTCCAACTGAATACATAGAAGAGACGCTGTTTGATCGCTCGTCAATCACTTACTTTTTTTTCAAGAAAAAAGAAACTTCGAAAAATATATTTTTTTTTTTGGAAATAAAAATGATGAAAAAACGATTTCAGCTTACGAGACAAAATGCGATCGATGAAAATTCATCGAAAGAAATCGAGAAAAGTGCAAGTGCAGATTCCAAGAAAAACTCGATCAAAAGACAAAACGCGTTCGACGGAAATGAGAATATTTTGCGAAAACAGATTACTGTAATTCGAGCGCCTTCTTTGTGATTTCTTTGCTTTCTGTAAATAAATTTGCGTATACAAAAATGGGAAATCGTCTTTTGATTTCCCTAATTGGGAAAAAGTAACCTTAGACTAAGGTTACCTTAGTGATACCCTTAATTTTTGCTCTTATCAAAGATAAATAATCAAATAGCTTTCAGAAGCAATAAAAAATTGTCGCCTTTAACAAGCAACCGATTTATCATAATTTCAGAAACATCCGTTAAGATTTTTTCATCAAACGTGGCGTATCGTGATGTTCCGCTAAACTAGTTATGTAGTACAACATACACTTTTACGCGTTTTCACCTGCCACCCGTGGCTTAATTTATAACGGCCATTTTTATGTTTTGAAAACTTCGGAATTAAGATTCTTGAGGCGATAATTAGTCATTTTATACGAATAGAGATACAGGAGAAACTATGTGTTGGCTAAGAAGACATCCGATTTTTTTAGGTCAATTCTTTGTAGTATAAATTTTTTTATTAAAAAACCCCTCATTCTTTGAAAAAATTTTTTAAAGCGGATCATAATTCTCGTTTCTTTTCCGGTTGTCTTCTTAGTGTCTCATAACATCGACCATAAATTTTTTATTATACAACGACGAAGGCGTCTACACAAATTTTATTGCTCCTCTGAAAATGTAGCGGTGCCCAAAAGGGAAAGTCACTTTGAAAAATGCACGACAACTAACAACGAATCGATTTTTCCGATGAGCGAAAATTCAGAGCTTCTTAACACCCGCTGTTTAGCTAGCGCTTTTTTGACTTTTATCAAAAAGCCAGTCAAAGTTCAGGAAGTAGCAGTTAGAGAAAACTGTCTCCTTGCCTTGGAACGTAGACAAACCGGTGTTCATGTTGGTACTTATTTCGTCGCGAGAGACTCTGAAAACAAAGTCTTGAGGGACTATTACAGAATGAAAATCAAGTACAAAATCAAGCCGGAAATTGCACGAGAATACTTTCAGCCAGATGAAGATGTTCCATTGTTCATTCTCCCTATCAACGATACTAACAAGTAAGAAAATGAAAACTTGGTCAATTCATCATTAAGATTTTTCATCGAATTTTTCACTGAAGCAGACTTGGCCGAATTCTACATGATAATGAGTGACATTGCGCTTGATAAAGGTTCAAAAGGGCATAAAATTTCATTGGGAGAATCTTATTCCTCGATCTTAGGAAAAGAAGGGCGTCAGAAGTTTAAACCAAAGAAGAGCGCAGAACACACTGAAGACATCATTTTCTACTACAAAAATCTGAGCTATTATCGAAAAGCCCTACTCGAAGACAAAGAGAGAGAAGGAGGAGAAAGCGATATCACAGACGGTCGAGGACTGCTAGGAATCGAAGAAGTCATCGCTGCACAAAACATTTTGAGCAGAGTCATCGCCGCGAACCAGAATCGAAGATTAGATTCCGCAGTTGCTGAGACTGAGAGCGAGACTGAAAGCCTGGATTCTGATATTGCTGAAACTGAGAGTGTTTTGACAGTGGACACAATTGAAAGTCGTTCTGCTGACCGATTCCAAATTTAACTCTGAGCTGTGTATATAAAAACTGTTTTTATATACAGTACATTCGCTTTCAAAAAATAAATTTGTTCTTGAAACAAAGATTAAATTGATAATATTATCTTTCTTGAACGCCAAGATAGATTACCCGTCAAGTTAAAATGAATCGCCTCAGAGTCGAATTATCTTGGGCATTGGCAATTACTCTCTGTTGTACATTATGATGAGAAATGTAAGGTCAATCCCGCCTGATTCGGTCAATCAGTAACTGATTTGAGGTTCAGCCGCATTCCATTTCTAATTAATTCAAAGCAACATCAGAAAATAAAACGACACTGAGCATTTAACAAACGGCGATTTTGAATTTAACAAATTAAAAATGAACGTTTTTCCCTGCGCCTTGACAAACATAAATGCTGACAAAAGAGAGGAACGGCAAAGAGCGAAAATAGGTACTAGTGAAATTCTAGAAAAAAAGAAAGGAAATTTAAGGGGATCGAATTTACAAATACTCTGATGATGGAAGCTCGGCGCTAGAATTTAATGTTTCTGGAGAGCGATTTCGCGTGAATCGAAATCTTCTAGAGATGTTGCCAGAAAGCACTCTTGGGAACTTTTATAAAAGAGAAGTTTATTTCGACGCGAAAAGAAACGAGTACTTTTTGGATCGGCATAAAAAGACGTTTGAAGCAATCATTGATTTTTATTATTCGAATCATTACAAGATCAGGATTCAACAATTGAAAAAGGCTCCATTTTCCATCAGCAATCCTCTGAAAGTCTCAAGGTCTTCTGCGCCCAAATGACATTCCACTGGATATTTTCATCGAAGAACTTCGATTCTATGATCTTCCGATTCCGATCATCCTTGATTTCCTCAAGTCAGAAGGGATTGATGTCATCGACATCACTTACAAAGGAAAACCGTGGAACTATCATGTTTGGCAGTTTTTGGAAAGCCCTCGCTATTCAAAAAAGAGCTCGATTCTGCATCACTTTAATACTGTAATGATAATCGGTAAGAAGCCCCTCTGTTCTTCCGAATTAATTTTTAGCTTCGATTTTCATCTTCTGCGTGGAGACACTCCCACCTCTGATCCAACAAGCTGATGATAACTGTACAAAGGTTCGTGGTGGTTTTTCATAATCGCGCTCCAACCGCACTCTTAAATTTGTGTAAGATCACTGATCAGGATTGCTGATCCTTTTTTCAGGAATCGAAATGCTCCCCAGAAGATTTATTTGAACAGAAAATTGTCTCAAGTGAAAGCTTTTACAATCAGCTACCGAACTCAGTAATATTCAAAATACAGTCAAAAGCTCTTTTGAAGAGTTGCTTATTATGCTTTCTTATTCGACGTTGTTTCGTCCATCTATTTTGGTTTGGAGCTTTTCGTCCGATTCAACTGCTGCGATGATAGATACGTCTTCATTTGCGACCCTTTCAATATTTTTGACTTCGTTGATTTCACCATTTTTTCACTGTACTTCGCCACTCGATTGTTGGCGATTCAACAACATGGACCTGGAAGGCACTTTTTGATTGCTCTTATGCACAAAACAAGGTAAAGCATTCCCTGCTCTCTTTTTTCATCTCCAGACTTTTATGCATTGCCCGACTTTTGAAACTCTGCCGTCATTCGCGAGGACTCCGGCTTCTTTCGGCAACGATTATGCACTCGAAATTCATGCTCTTCCAACTTGTCGTTCTTCAACTTATTTTCGCGATCATTTTCGGCAGCTTCATTTATTACTCTGAAATGGACGTCCCAAATAGTAGATTCGACAATATTCCAATTTCCGCTTATTGGGCGCTTTTTACAATGAACACGATGGGATATGAAGATTTTGTTCCTCAAACGACATTTGGCAGATGTCTTGGTTCACTGTGCACCATTGTTGGCTTGTTTTGTATTTCATTTCCTGTCCCAGTCATTGTATCTCATTTCGCTTATCTGTATAAGAGAGATAAAGCGGGAAGAGGGGTCAACGCGCTGCTGATTTTGAACGACTCGTATAGAATAAAATAAAGATAAAGAGGATTTCCATTGTTTTGAACTATTTTGCCCGGTCAGAGTGCACTTGTTATCTGAGCAAATATTTTCCACTCTCGGAGGCAAGCGGCCTTGAAGTCCTAATTCGCCACTCCCATTTTCTTACATAACTGTTTCCGTATAATCACGGGAAAAATTTTCTCATCGTTCATTTTTTTCATAATTTTTTTTTCGGAGAAAATGACAACTTTCTCCGATTATGTTTTTGATGAGCCTGATGCGAAAAAGCTATTAGGTGCATTTTTTACGCTGGGCTTGACGTTTTCGATTTTGAAGCAGATCTGTAGGAGAATTGAAGAATGGGGGATGGCAACCCTGCCGGATATGCCGGAGAGAATTCAAAGATATTTAATAAGGGTACGTTATTAATAAAGAAAAATTCCGAAAATAATATTTATCAACAAGGCGCATCTAAAATGGTGGAGTTTGCGCCTCCAAGCTGGCGGCAATGTCGAAAAACAGCACGAATACAAAGCGAAAATGGTCAAAATCTTCCGCGAAAACGAAAAGATCGCGGAAGCAACTGAAGAAGCAAAAGAACAACACTACGAAGTCCCAACTGAATTTTTCAAACTTTCACTTGGACGATGGCTGAAGTACAGTTCGTGCTACTGGCCAAGAGGTTGTGATAGTTTGAACGATGCGGAGGTAGCCATGCTTGAGAAAATTTGCGAACGCGCTCAGGTAAAAAAATCGGAAAAACAGAATCTGATGACTGTTGATTCAGATAAAGGATGGTCAACATGTTTTGGACCTTGGATGCGGATGGGGGAGTTGTGGGCTCTATCTTCTAAAGAAATACCCGAACATTCACGTGACGTTTTTTTCCAACTCGCGAACTCAGCAGGTTTGTACGCTTAGTTTGCTTTCGGGGTAATGTCAATATCTAAGGAGCACATTCGAAATGAAGCAAAGAAAGGTGGAAACTTGAACAGAATCAGGTCGATCACTGGTGATGTCAATGTCGTTGATGTCGTGGATGAAAATGGAAAGGTAAGCATATTTACATTGATGTTTCTTCAACGAAATTGTCTTAGCACTAACTAAAAAAATTGGTTATTTCTTATCAATTTTTAAAGAGGAAAAAGTTATATTCAAATGTGTCTTTGGACTATGTTATGATTTCTTTATCATAATTCTAGACAATCGAATTCGACAGAATTGTGACAAATGAAATGTTCGAACACATGAAAAACTACGATCGTCTTTTCGAAAAAGTCTCAAAATGGCTCAAACCAGAAACTGGCCTTCTCTTCATCCATGTATTCTGCCATCGAAACTTTCCGTACCAATTCAAAGTGAAAAAATCAAATAATGCCGATTGGATGGCGAAAAACTATTTCACTGGCGGAAGTATGCCATCTTTTGGTAAGAAATTAAAAGAGGGAATAATTGGGGAATGACGACTAAGCTCGTGAGGACCAGGTTCAAGGGACTAGGTTCGTGGGACTAGGTTCGTGGTGGGTTCTGCCAGAGTATTGAAATCGGGCTATATTTTAGGGCAGAAAGGGAAAAGGGTTGATGTCTAGGTTCGTAGGACTAGGTTCGTCAGCTTTTAAATGGTAAAAATAAATGGGAACCTAGTCCCACGAACCTAGTTTTCACGAACCTAGTCTTCATGAACCTTGTCCCACGAACCTAGTCATCAACCCATTTCCTTTACTGCCCAAAAATTTTTTCTATTTAAAATTTCACGAACCTAGTCACACGAACCTAGTCATCAACCAATTTCCTTTACTGGCCAAAAATGGTGAAGATACAAAAAAATACATATAAAAATCCGAATTCCACGAACCTAGTCACACAAATAATTTTTTCCGACGTGGCACCCACGAACCTAGTCGCACGAACCTAGTCCTCACGAACCTGGTCATCCCTCTCAATAATTGTTATTGATATCAATTTTTAGATACGTTCCTGTTTTTCCAGAGAAATTTGAGGATTCAGAATACCTGGATGATGAACGGAACTCATTATTCAAAGGTAAAAACCCGTACTTATGACTCATAAGTTATGAGCCTTTGCTTATTTTTATAGACTCTAGAAGCGTGGCTACAACTGATGAAAGACAAGAAGGCCGAAATTTCTTCCATTTTTGCAAAGGAATATGGCCCGAAAGAAGTTCAAAAACAACTCAATAATTGGAAATTATTTTATATCATGTCCAGGTTTTTGCCTTTTTTCTCAATAGTTTTCTCATTTGTTTGATTCTAGCGAAGCATTTGCATACAACAAAGGAAACGACTGGTGCGTTGCGCATTACACATTCAAGCGAAACTAGAAATCGACTGATCTTCCTCCTTATTTTCTGACAGCGTTGTTTTTCGACCCTTCAAATCAATAAATTTCATTCAAAACAAAAAGTGTCATAAAATTTGTCGATCATTATTGGGCGCGGTCATGGGGGTTGTTTCAAGAATATAATTCAAGGTTCATTTTCTTTCGAGAGCAGATAAAATGACACAAGAGACCGTTGTTTTAGCTTATTCTGGCGGTCTTGATACGAGCTGCATTCTCGTTTATTTGGTGAAGCAAGGGTACAGAGTTGTTGCTTGTATTGCTGATGTTGGTCAAGGTAGGATAAGATGAGCTTCCTCGGCGCTAGAGATGGATTAAGGATATAGCCGTTCTCAAGGCACTTTCGTAGCGCCGAAATGGGGCGATAAAATTTTTTCATTCTAAGACAGGTCCTACCTAAAATTATGTCTAGAATTCGATTGTGATGTTTTTTAAAATTTTTTTTCAAAGAAAATTTCTCTCTGGAGCGATTTGAAATCTTACGATCACTTTTTCTCGAAATCTTTCAATTAAATCGCTAAAACTAAACCGTGTATTATTATAAATAACTGCTAATCTATCTTCCTAGGGCCTTAAAATCTCAAAACCCGAGCAAATTTTAATTCTAGCGTCTTCTTCTTTTTGGCTTTTCTTTTTCAAAAATACTGCGTTCAGGGCGCTCGACCAATCAGCGCGCTCTTTCACATGCCCGCCTCACCGCGCGATGGAGGAGAGCGCTCAGCGCAGCAAACCAGAGCGCTGTCTGACGCTTCGGCTCACTCAAGTAAGCCTCATAAAAATGGCTGTAGAATCATAAATATTTAGAATTTTTTAAAATTTAGGCCCTAGGAATGTAGATAAAGGTCCAAATTTTTAATTTATCAAAAAAACTCGACCGATTTAATGGAAAATTTTCGAGAAAAAGTGATCGCAAGATTTAAAATTCCTCTAGAGAGAAATTTTTCCATTAAAAAATTAAAAAGAACACTAGAATCGGGTTTCTAAGGCAATTTTAGGTAGGGTTCCTTTTGAAGTGAAAAAATTTTATCGTCCCCTTTTGGCGCTACGAAAGTGCCTTGAGAACGGCTATATCCTTAAGATGAGGACTTCGAAAGAGCGAAAGAAAAGGCAATGAGCATTGGCGCTTCCGCCATCTACGTCGAAGATGTCAAGGAAGAATTCGTTACGGACTTCATCTGGCCGTGGGTAAAGTCAGGAGCAATTTATGAGGAACAGTACTTGCTGGGGACGAGTCTTGCTCGACCGCTAATTTCCAAGGCGCTGGTTAAAGTTGCAAGACTGGAAAATGCCCAATATATTTCGCACGGAGCTACTGGCAAGGTATCTTTGTTTGTATCAATAACTAATGATTTCTGATAAGGGAAATGATCAAGTCCGATTTGAATTGTCAATCGCTGCCCTCGCCCCCGACATCAAAATCATCGCTCCTTGGCGCGATGCCGAATTTTGCGCCAAATTTGCTGGTCGAAATGACCTCTTCAATTTCGCTGAAGAGAACAATATCCCTCTTCCTGTCTCGAAATCGTCTCCTTGGTCGATGGACGCAAATCTGATGCACATTTCTTATGAAGCCGGAATTCTCGAGGTGAGTCTTTCTTGATTTCAAAAAGAGAAACGAGCGTTCAGGACCCAAATGTTTCTCCTCCTGATCGAATGTGGCTGATGACAAAAGATCCCGTCAACGCTCCCGATGCTCCTGAATTCATCGAATTGGTGTTCGAAAAAGGACTTCCGGTCATGATGAAATACAGGGAAACGGAAGTTTCAGCGCCGCTAGAGCTGTTCAAAAAGCTCAATGAAATTGCAGGAGAACACGGAATCGGAAGACTTGACATCATCGAATCAAGATTTGTCGGAATGAAATCACGTGGTTGCTATGAAACTCCCGCTGGGACTGTTTTGCTCACTGCTCATAAAGGTTTGTTTAATAAAAACTCTGGAATAAATGTCGACCGTAGATCTGGAATCGCTAACAACTGATCGAGAAGTTATCCGATTGAAGCAAAACCTTGGGCGAGAATTTTCCGTTCAAGTTTACAACGGAATGTGGAACTCGCCCGAGGCCCAATTTACGAGACAAGCGATCGATCATTCTCAGCAATTTGTCAATGGTTCCGTCAAATTGCAGCTCTACAAAGGATTTGTCCGAGTTGTTACAAGAAATTCGAAGACGAGCGTCTATGATGCTACTTTGGCGTCGATGGATGAGCTGACAGGTTAGTCTAGTTCTCTCGCTTTTGATATCAAAAGTGAATTTTAGATTATAACCCGGCTGATGCAGAGGGCTTCATCAGAATCAATGCTTTACGATTGAAGCAACATGCGAAACGTTGAACATCTATTGAACCATGATTGTGGATGCATAATATCTCGATTATCAGCGCTTGTCTGCTAGCGCACGCCTCCACACCGATAAGCTCAACCGGGGAGCCTTTCTGTTCATTCTGTTCACTCTATGTCTTACCGAGCCACAGCATTTACTTTGAAATAAAACAACAATATTGAGACATTACAACTTGACCACTCCTTGCAGCCCAGAGATCAGATTTTATCCACTGTTACAAAGTGGTGACAAAGGTATGTTTTACCCATTTGTTTTCGGAGATTTTTGAGAGATCTGTGAGAGAGAGATCATCATTTTTAAATATTGAAAGTCTATTTTTGAGAAATTGTTTTTCAATAATCAATTTTGGTAATTTCATTTACACCAGTGAAAAGGGAGATCGGGGAAAATCATCTGAAGCGAATAAATCAACTTTGATTCTCGAATGCAAATATGAATAAAAATCTGAAATAAAATTGAATGGCTCTTTTATAATACCGGTAATGTTTTCTTCTTTTCTATAATCTAAAACGAAAAACTCTTTATATAGAGTTCCAGAAGCTACAGTCATTTTTATTCTAAATACAATCTATCATTTTGCCTGTAAGACCAATTTCATTGGCAAAAGGCTCAAAGACCAACAAACTTGGCAAACTATTTTTATCTTTTTATGATTTTGAATCCATCTTATCATTATTTAAATGTAGCAAATTTCATTATTCCTTTTATGTTTAATTAGTAAACTTCTAAAAATGTGATTTTTCAAAAAATTTTTCTGAAGAATTTCAAAAGTGCATAAAATAAGACAGACGATAAGCAATCGCGTCATAGATAAAGTGTCGTTCTCACGCGAAAGGGGTCAGACGTTGAGACATTTATGTTTGGGAGACGGGGAGACTCTAGAGCCAAAATGACTCATCGAGATGACGCATATCAACGAATAAGAATCTAGTAAAGGAGAATAAATCGAATGAGAATATTTTTTCAAGAAACTGGCCAATAAGAATCTGACCAATAAGAATCTGACCAATGAGAATGTGGCAAATGAGAATATGACTTATGAGAATCTGGCGAATGAGAATCAAGCTTCAAAAATAAATGAGAATCAAGTTGTTGAGAATCGAGACATAAGTCTTTTAATAAAATATTTTTCTTCAATAGCAATTATTTTTCCAATTAAATGTTTTGAGGCATTAAATTCATATAAATTTTGATTAAGAATGATTTTCTATTCTCTTTAAACTTAAATATGGGCTCTGGGGAATAACAACTTGTGATGAAGATGAAGTAACGAACGCATAATTATATTTTTATTTTTCTTTAATATAAATGGTCGAAATTCATTGTGGACATTTAAGAATATTTTTTTTTTCATGTTTCCGAAATAATATATCGCTGATTGGTGGAGATTTCTGAGCGTAAATGGAATTGTCAAAATACGGGGGAATGAATTTGATAAAGCTTTTTGTAAACTCTGGCCAGTATTTCTACAATCATTTTTTTCAAATAATCATTTTTCTTAACATACACGTGTATATTTTTGAGTGAGTGAAGGTGATGAAACGGAGTTTTGAGATGCAATGAGGAGTGAGAGTGACCTTGAGGGTCGATCAAAAAAATTTTTTTTTAATCAAGTATTGGTGTGGGGCGCGGGGAGTGGTTTAGTTTTTTTTTTGAATTTTTTATCTGGGTTAATTCTTTGAAGAAAAAATAGCAGGGGCTATGAGACTCGGTGGAGATTATTCGAAAGAAAAATTATTTTGATCATTAAATTTTCATAAAAGTTTTATTCAAGAAATATTATTTATATTTTTATTTATTTCAGATGACCGGACTTGTCAAACGTTATGTCAGAATGGAGACAGCAACTCTACCATATTTAAGATGGTTGGGGAAAAAGCATGAGATTTCGGGATATGATTATTTGAATAAAGACATGCTGCTCAGAGAGCTCGAGAAGCTCAACATCGGGAATTCTTTTTTAATAACTTATGTTGAAGGCAGTCAGGGAAAGCCGCATTTAATTCCTATCACGGGTCTGACAAAGATTGGGGATGAGGAGATTCAGTACGCGTTTGATGAAGCGAAGCGTAGATTCATTTCGGGGGAAGATCATGAGCTTTTTCGATTTGATGATAAGAGTATTCGTAAGGGTGATTACGGAACGTCAAATGAATCTTCGAGGGCTGTTATGTTTGAATTTTATTCGAATCAGAGGGCATTCGATAAATTTAGATGCAAGCGAGTAAGTTTTTCAAGGGAAATTGGAGGAAGTTCAAATGAGAATTCACTTGCTAAGATCGATGATAGAATGGCAGCTTTAAGGGTTGAACTTGCAAAGATCGAAGATATGAAAAGACAAATTATGGCGGATATAAAAATTCAGGAAGATTTACGTGATTTTTGTGCTCGAGGGTGCCGTGCAAGAGAAGTGATTCGGGAATCGAATGGTGATTCGTCCGAGAATGGAGTTGTGAAAGAGGGTATCGAGGGAAATGATCAAATTATTGCGCAGTGTCCTCCATGGGATTATTCATATAAACTCAAACTGCCTGTTCTTTTTACTGATGAGACTGACGGGGAAAACAAATTTACAGATGTCAATTCCTGGTTTACCAGCATAACGTTCCTTATGGATTTGCAAAATATCACTTCGAGAAAGTCAAGACTAGCAAACTTGCTAGCAAACATTGGTGGTTCGCATCAGGGAATGGTGACGAAGGCGTTGAAATTGAAGGAAAACCCGACTGAGGATGATGTATTGAGTGAATTATTGAAAATTTTGAATTACAATAAAAGTTTTATTGAGCACGAAATCGAGAAATTTCAGATCGACAGTAAGAAACAATTGATGACGCAATTTCATGCGTTACGAAATATGGTTGTACTCTTATATGAGAAAACGGCTTTAGGGAAAAATCATGAAATAACAATTGATCAGATAACATTGCGGGAGTTTAAAGCGAAACTTCCGAAACTAGTTTCAGGAAATATTATTTTTCGACTGGGAATCGAAAATAAAAAGCCGTTAGAAATCGTCGAATAAGCGCAAAAATACTCGATTGTGCATAGGATCATTTGAACAAGTTTGAAGTTATAAGAAAATCAGCGTTACGATAATTGGGTTGTTTTCATAAATTTTATCAGTTGACTATTTTAAATGTTTTTCTTTTGACGATTAAATGAAATGAAAAGACGGGTTGAATGAGGGTTAAATTAATATTTATTTAGTGAATTATTATGACGATTGGCGATTACAGAACCGATATTGAAAGATCAAAGCTGCTCGACCTTCCATATTTTCTTGAAATAGCCCTTTATGGAGCTTCTTGTTTTCGTTCAAGATGGGCGACAATGGAAGTCAATCAATTCGATATTCAGATTGTAAAAAGAGCCCTACAAATATTGTCGAATCCTTATTGGGTCAATGAAGTTCGGACGTTAGAAACGAGTGACGGGGAATTAGCTGTTGATACGGCTATTATGCTTGATGCGTTTTTTTTAATACATGGAAGAATACGAAATTCCGAGGGACACATTTTATGATTAAAGTCGCTGAAACTGGGTAAGAGGGACATATCTTCTATGAATTTTCGGGCTCTAGATCTTATGTATGAGGGATTTTACGAGAACTTTAAATTTGAAACAAGGGAAAAATCGCATTTTCAAATGTTTAAGGAGGCGAGGGGCAGTTCAATATGCGAAAAAGGGGCTTAAACATCATCGAATAAAAATGCGATGTTTGGATTATTTGGGAAGAAATATGGCTCTGTTGTTATCCAATTTGCTTCTGCTGGAATTAATTCTTTTCAATGGATTGACGATTTTCTGATATCCTTTTGGCGCTGCGTGCTTTACGAAAATATCGACATTCAAATTGGTTGTTATTTATCGACGTTTATTTGCTCATGGTGCTATCTTTATCTGGACAGTCGTAATGGTTTGGATTTATGATGATGCTTGCTTTGGCTTTATTTATTTACTGGATTTGGATTGCGAGGCATGATTAACGACAAAAATTTGAGGGGAGGAAGGGTTTGTGGATGCATAATATCTCGATTATCAGCGCTTGTCTGCTAGCGCACGCCTCCACACCGATAAGCTCAACCGGGGAGCCTTTCTGTTCATTCTGTTCACTCTATGTCTTACCGAGCCACAGCATTTACTTTGAAATAAAACAACAATATTGAGACATTACAACTTGACCACTCCTTGCAGCCCAGAGATCAGATTTTATCCACTGTTACAATGATAATAAACTTTGAAGAAAAAAGGGACTTTGAGCTTGAAAACAAAAGGAAAGCCAAGTTTACGAGCATGATGTAAAAAGCTGTCAGAAAATATGTAATTTGTCCATTTTTTCTTGTTTTATGGCGAGAAGGGAAAACGGCTCGCGTACTTAACATTGATCTAAGGTTATCGTTAATAATTTGCGAGATGAACCGGGCATATTCCGAGCGTCTTCATGTGAAATGCAAGGCTCCCGCAAATCTTACTTTGATACAAATTAAAGGCGGAGTACACGAGATAGGTCTAAGAGAAAACTGCGTGGTTTCATTGGAGATACGCCAGAATGGAATCGAAGCGTTTACGGAATTTGTCGCTCGAGACATGAGGGGCAAAACAATAAAAGATATATCGGGGATGAAGGTCGCGTATAAACTGAAGGAGGAAACAGCGAAGACATTCGAGAATCTTGACAAAGAACTTCGTCTCTTCATTTTGGAATTCAATCCGACATTCAAGTAATACAAAAATGTTCTTCCTTTTTAATTATTGAGTAATTAATTTCAGATTTTTCATTGAATTTCATTCCGTACAAAGGCAAGACGTTTTCTTGGAAAAAGTATCTTCATTAGGCGGAGTAATCTTTATCGCATAATCAATTATTATATACATTCAAACGTGTAGCTCCTGAAAAGCAGATACTTTGGGAAGATCTCAAAATGCAAGTTTTGTAAGTCGCTCTATGAGCGGCTTGTCACGGTCATTTTCATCCATGATGTCTTCGGATACAAAGAAACCCCAACGAGATGAGGATCTTCTTTTCTATTTCAAAGAACTTAGCATTCATCGACTCAATGTTATTAGGAATTATGAACGAAAATTGAAAGAAAGTGCCGACAAAGAACATAAGTTCAAAAAAGTTGAGGCCCTTATCGGAGAAGTGAACAATGTACTCCGAGATGGTAGCACATCTAATAGTCTACCGTCCCTAAGAACAGAATCCGAAAGCAACTATTCAAATACTTTCGAAGATGATTTTTCCCAGCCTAATGATGACTACTAATGATGATTCACAGCTTCAGAAGGCTCTGATCTTGGTTTCAACAAGAGAATATTCCGAAGATAAAATTCTGAATATTACATAATCACTTCAACTAACAAATTCGGCCGCTGTGCACAAATTTGCGGATCTAACATTCATTTTTATTCTGTTATAAAACTCAACATCAAATTTACTCTTGGTTCTTTGCATCACAGTACTACGAATAAAATTCACTTCAATCAAATTTTTACCCCGGCAATGAAAGTTTCGGCAGAGATTGAAATCAACAAGGAGAATTCTTCAAGTCCTGGCTTGAAAAGAGCTCTGATCTTTCAGCAATTTGAGAGCAAATTTATCTTTGATTTTAAATGCCATAAAAATCATCTACTTCAGCCTTTTGAATGACTGTAGGATCCAATTAAGCCAAGTAAGAAGCAGTTTTCTAATCACGAACCCGTAGGTTCGGCTCTACCCAATCATCCACTGCTGATTATGGCACCATGCCAATATGTAGAATTAATCAGTCAATTTTTCATCCAATTTTCCGAAATTCTGACAGCAAATCGTAAAAAAAAGATAGAGAAAGAAATGAGTCAAATAAGCAAATCAGCGCCTCTTTTAGCCAGAAAAAGAGATAGCAAGGGCGAAGATCAGAATGAAGAAGAAGGAACCAAGTCCTCTGGGAATAAATGGAGCATTTTGTTCCTACTTGCTGTTTCTCTTGCAAGGAACAGTTTAAATGCATCGTTTTGTTATTAAAGATAAAGAAATAGTAGCAACTCAGAAAAGGGTTGCCATGGGGATTTTCAACTCGATAACTGGACCTACTCTTCCCGTTCTAGCGCAGGAAAGAGGAGATTAATATCATTAGAATCTTGACTTCTTGGTGATATTCTCATTAAAGCATGTCTGTAAATCACCAACCACCGTCAGTTGGATATTCTCCGGCCGATCCGTTGGATTCCTCATCGGCTCAGGGCAGGGCTCCTTTGTGATAAGAGCTTATCACTAGGAAAGCGCCTTCAAGACTGGATGGCCGAGCGGTCTAAGGCGTTGGATTAAGGCTCCAATCTCTTCGGGGGCGTGGGTTCGAATCCCACTTCAGTCAAACCTTTTTGAAGATTCTAGAGCCCGAACAAGCACTTTCCTCCGTCTTCGACCGTTTTGGGATTTCTCAAATGCTCATGCTCTCTATCAGCGTTTTGCTGTGCGCAGTTGGCTTGGCCTTGATGCCGATTTTGACGGATCTTTGGCTCTTGATCATTATTGTGACGATGACGGGAATTATTGCTGGATACATTGATGCAGCGATTCAGTGCATTATGTTGAAAGTCTGGGGAGCAAAGAAATCGGCGTCGATTTTGCAGCTTCATCATTTTACCTTTTCTATCGGTGCTTTTCTCTCTCCGATTTTAGGTAAATAAAGGCCTTAGCAGATGATTTTAATCAATTATTCTAGTGACACCATTCTACAGCGGCGACGATGATGTTTGCGTCGACGATACTGATGACAACAACGACCCAGTATGCATTGGAATAGGCGACAATAATGCAATTTTGACCCCATTTCTCATCTCTGCTGGTTTCATCGCGGCTGTTTTCGGTCTGATGATTTGGCTGTATTTTGTCGACATCACGGAGAAAATCAAGGAAGACAATCAAGAATCCGCGGATGAACGAAAAGAAGATGCTCTTGGTGATTTATGGCATTACTTTATCCCCGTGATCGTTTTCTACTTCTGCATTGTTTCTGGTGAAAATGTTTATCAGTCGAATATCTTTTCGGTAAGAAACATGACCTTGTCTCATTTCATAAAGAAAAACTCAGTATGCTGCGTGTAAAGTCGGATGGGACAGTCGGAACGCTTCGATTCTCAATTCGATCTTTTGGGCTGGATTCGGAATTGGCCGGGGATCAGGAATTTTCTTCAGGTGGAATTTTTTTCTTTCAAAAATAATATTTTATTAAGCCGTCTTTTACGACCAAGAACATACATCCTCATCGACCTGTTAATTTGCGCTCTAACGGCAACTTTTCTCTCAATTTTCCCCACTAACGAAATCATGCTCTGGATTGGCTCCTTCACTTACGGCCTTGGAATCGCAACACTGTACTCTTGCGGAATCAGTTACAGTCACGAGCTGACGAATGTCTCGGGAAAGTGGATAGTCGTTTTTGGAATTGGAAATGCCATCGGAGCAATGTCGATGCCGATCGTTGGAACGGCTCTTGTGTTTGACTCCGGAAGTCCAGAATCGCTGATGTATCTTCTCGCCGGTCTTACAGGGCTGAACATTCTGGCGTTTGGTGGAATGCATCTTTTGGGGACTGTTTTTGGTCCTTTGCCAAAGCTGCTCAGAAAAACCGCGGAAAAAGAATCTTCATTTTAGAATTTTTTTTTCATCTTATTAGAATAAATTTTGTTGAAAATTGAATATTTACTGTATTGAAGAATTGGCAGTGCTTGGTAATAAATAATTGTTGAATGGAAGTGATGATTGAAGTAGATTTTCAAGGTGAAACGCCGATGAATGCGTTCCTCCTCGTTCGTTGCTGGTGATCCTCTTCGGTGACTTCGAAGGAAACATTTTGAGGAAAGGTGCAGGAGCCGTAAGAGACGCTGCGATTCCAACTGTCAGTTTTATTTACATCGATTTTTCTATGAAGATAAAATGAGAAAACGCTTACCAAGAAATAATTCGTAAAAATTGATAAAAAATATTTTTCTTTTATAAAAATTGGAAACAAAAACATACGTCGGAGGGCTTTTTGAAAGGCTGTTTGAAGTCTTAATAAAAATATTCGATTATCATCCCTTTTTCTAGTCAAAAACAAACTTACCGATCTTGGTCGGACTCTGGATTACTCGAAAAGGTCTCACCAGAATCGATCGTTGAGTCTGTTGCAACTTCTCTCAGCGCCGCCAGCAGCGATTTAATACTGCTGATTTCTAATCAACTACAGTAAGAGTGTCTTCATAACTTCTGTCTTACCTTGCTTCACGACTTCTTGTTTCTCCTCGAGCCCTTTGATCTGATTGCTCAATTTTCCTATCAGATGATCTTGCAGAATTATATTCGATTGTTGTCTCTCCCTTTTTTCCTGATCACGGGATAGGTCAGGTGAGGAGATCTCAGAGGAGATCGTTTCCGGATGACGATGGGAGTTGGAGTGGGAATGGGAGTTGTCATCGTTTGAGTTTTCCACTTGATTGGTTTTTAAGCTCTTTAGCTTGTCCATCAAAGAGCTGAATTTTTGTCGGAAGCGAAGGAGAAGCAGTACTTACACAGGACTACTGGCTTTCTTCCTGATCGATCCATTTTTGGACGGTGCTTCGGAGCAAAGTGCACTCTTATCCTTGATTTTCCCGTTGACAGCTTTTGTCTTTCCCTTGAATTTTGAATTCAGGGCATTTCTTCCTGCCGACAGCCATCTTAAATGAATCATAAAAAATGAACAGGGCAGTTTTCTCGGTAAAAAATATACTTCTAATTCTTGAATGTGATGGTTTCAAGAATATCTCGTTTGATGAATAAGTTGTTAGTCTTGTTAGTTTATTGATTAAAGCTGGCAGAGGATGCTAAATTTTTATTTTTTCTTACAAGCGCCTTATGCGGGATCTGCCCTCGCAGATAGTTGAAAGCGGAGATATTCTTCTAAAATATGAGAGCGTAATTTTTGGAACTATACTGTATGTTTCACACAGTATCAGACTTGAGGTATACCTCTCTCTGAATTTGCGATGAATCATGAAATTACTTACTTAAGTTTTGTATTATTTTCATTGACCGGAGTCGAGTTGCCTCCTTTTCTGACCATTTTTTCAAGCGCATCAAGTTTTCTGGAAATATACGTCGTCGTTATCGCTGTGTCATCGACCAAAAACTCTTTTTCCAACGATTGACCGACGGTTTCCGTCGACGTTTTCACACGTCGCCATTGCCAGAGAGCGTCGACATATGATTTGTGCGCGTGTCGACGGAGTCGATATCTATTTCATCACGCCGATCAATAATAGAAAAGAATTCAATGAATTACTTGGTAAAAGTCATTCTTCGGGCGAATCCGTTTCCTCCTTCGTTGTCGCGGTCTTTTTGACGCTGGTAGAATCGCCAAGTCGCTTGAATGAGTTTTGCAGCGGCGTGCCGACGAATCTGATCAGCACCTGAAAATTTCGAAATGTTTTTGAAGTAAAATTGAATTACAGTAATATTATAAATTTTTTTTAATAAATTTTAAGTAAATATTTTGCAACTCGCGGTAGAACTGCTTCTGAACAGGCAGCAGATATTATTTTTTCCAGATCAATGTTACTGTTTACAATTTTTGGAAAATGTTCGAACTAAAAACATCGTTATGGTGTTTAATGATAGGCTATCATTGATAGCTTACGTTGTTTTTCTACGGATGCCAAAATCCTCTTCTCATCCGGCGGAATCACCAGCGTATCTGATAAAACTCCAACGATCAAAGCAGTTTGAAATATTCCCAAGAGAGACAGAAGCGAGATGATGATTCTAGAGAGCCAGTAGCAAGGAGTGAAATCTCCAAAACCGAGATTTGTGATTGTTACTCCCATCATCCAAACAACATCCGTGTACTCTGAAATTCAAATTATAAGAGTCTTCAAAGAAAAACCCTTCTGAAGAGTTTTGAATTGACGTACCCATGCATTTTCCGCGAAGTCGCTCGAGGGCAAAAACAATGTATCCGACGGCAAATACGTTGAATAAGTAAAGCGCCATTAACATGGGAAGCGGTTTCTTTAGAAAGTAGCTCTAAATAATGCATGAAAAACACTTGATACTTGGATGCCTTCTGACCTTCAGAAGAAAGGTTGAAGACAGCTTCACCGAAGCAACCGTTTTGAGAATCTCGGTCATTCGATGATATCGCATCGGGTGGTGTTCTCGCATGTACTGAAAAGATTTTAAGCATATTTATGGATGAGGACAAAGAACATACCTTGACGATATGATAAAGCCTCGCAAAAGTAACAAGCTGCATTTCTGTCGGAAAAAATTTCGGGAATCCTGGCGGTAAGTGAATGACGCATAATATCAGTTCTGCATAAAGTGCTCCAGCAAGAGGGGAGAAGAATAAGTTCACTGAGTCCGAAAGATGATGCCTAAAACTTATAACTCGAAAGAATGCTATTTCTTGTCACCTGACAACAAGAAGTCTTCTCTCTAACTCGGAGTACCACCAAATCAAGCCGACGGTCAAAACCGTCAAGACGGAAATTGTGACTCTGACTGCAAAAGCCAGTGCTTTGAAAAAGTGTCGTTTTGTCTGTTGCCCGGGATTGTTTTCGAGGATCGAGCTATTTTGAGTTGCATTTTCGTTCCATGAAAATTGGCATCCAGGATTTTTTACGACGCAGGTGTCTTCAACCACTCCCACGATGTCGCCCTTTTCTTTGTAGTTGAGTTCTATGTCCAGTATGCTTAATACAGTAATTGAGGAAATTGAGGGATAAAATAGTGACACCCTTATTTAATCTTTTTTTGTTGAAAAATAGAGCATATGACAAATGAAAGTCTTCATGAAAATTCACAGTCTCTTTCATACCTGAATACTACTGTAATAACAGCAACAGCCAGTAATGCCGCGCTAGCTTGCCGTAGACTTCTGTAGACTCGAACCTTGAGCAGCTCTTTCCGTTCAAACTCCGCCACATCTCGCCACTATTCACGGTTTTTTCGATTTCAAAAAACAAGAAAAAAAATGTTCTCTTCCTTGATTTCAAAGAAAAATTTCACAAATTTTGAGTAGAAATTATACCTTTTTAAATCTTTCAAGTAGATGGTCGATTTTCGGCTTGACAAACATCTCTTAGAAAAAAGAAGTTAGCATCTCTCCAGTTCTCTTGCAACGGGAGAAATGGGGTCTGAGATTTGGCATAAAGTCGGATCACGATCGAATCCGAAAATAAATTGGAAAATATAAAATCCTCCCAAAGGACCAGAATCAGCAGAAAAAATTCGCTCTCTCTTTTTCGTCGAAAAAAACTGAGTTCAAAATATTTAGCAATCGTCGACTGACAAAAAAGGCCTTGGCAATTGGTGAGGCTTTATTAACCTTTTTTCAAGGGTAATCTTATTTGGTGGTTTCAGAGTTCAAAATAAAAACTAAGGAGTCTATTTTGACATAATCTCAACAAAAAGGGATGAACCCTATTCGCGATCAACACCATTTTATGACTCATTTTTGACCCTTTTTAGGGGGTAGGCTTCATTTCCCCAAGAGCTTCATTTCCCCAGAGCTTCATCTCCCCAAGACCTTCATTTCCCCAGCCTGGGCAGATGAAGCTCTTGGGGAGATGAAGCTCTGGGGAAATGAAGCTTTAAATTGCGTGGGCAAGTTGTACTTAGTGTTCAATGGCTGAGCAGGGCTGTGCAACAAAACTTATTTTTCATTAACTTTGAAAGTCTTAAATATGTGTTCATAAAAGAAAAAAGTCTTTCTTAGCCATCATAATAATGTTTTCCTTCTTTATGAAACGTCGTTCCTTAATAATTATCGCACAATAATCGAGCTTAAGGGGGTGGTGGTCGAAAATTAGGATTTTTAATAAATGACGATAAATAAAGAAATATAAAAAAAAAACGGTAATATGCGAAGTTTGAACCGGTAACTTTCCATTGTCTAGCAGACTTATTCAATAGAAACAGTTTTGATAAAATATTTTGGATACATGTAATTTTTGAAAGATATAACTTGATTTTATTTTATTATTGCAACGAATTCGTGTTCAATACGAAAAGGATTAATATTTCTCAAAAAATTCTTGAAATTTTCCTTTTTTTTCTTAAATATTTTAAAAGTCGAATAAGAGCTTCATTGGCCGAAGAGCTTCATCTCCCCAAGAGCTTCATCTGCCCAGGCTGGGGAAACGAAGCTCTTGGGGAGATGAAGCCTACCCCTTTTTAGGAGTTGTTTTCAAAAAATTGTAAAAAAAGTTTTCGTACTTGTATTTTTTCTTATGATTTTTGTATTGGACATTCGTCTAGAATTCTCCTCCTCTTCGACAAAAGCCCGACAAATGGAATATCTCCTCAGAAAATAGCCATAGCGCAAGTCCGAGTGGGAAATGAGCTCCGACTTGCGCTTGCTGTTTGTCATTCCTCGATAATTGCAAATGGCCATTCTCTGTCGAAAGTAATTATTTTTCCGGAGCCGCTTCGATAAAAAGAAATAAAGCACCCAACTACAAGCACACATCAAAAGCAACAACAAGCTATGTATAACTGCCACATAACTATTGGAAAAAAAAGAAACGGCGAAGAAGATGCTGAATGCAGAAGATGATACATTATCGGAATATTGGAAATTGTGACAGACGAAAAAATGAGTCTATCTTCATCAGAATTTACCTGTTTCTCATGTAAACCCCCTTATTTTCCTTCATCAAATCCGTTAAAATGGGGTTGTCAGGAACACACAAAATATCCCGACATATTTTGCGTGAAAAATTTCAACCAATTAGAAGCCTGGATTCGGCAAACCGGCCAATCAGAACCCTGGATTTGGCAAATTAGCCAATCAGAAGCCTGGATTCGGCAAACTGGCCAATCAGAAGCCTGGATTTGGAAAACTGGCCAATCAGAAGCCTGGATTCGGCAAACCAGCCAATCAGAAACCGAGAAGCCGCCCACGCAAAATCCCCCGAAATTTTTTTCTCGGTTCCTGACGCCACCCTAAATGGGGACTCTTTATTTGATAAGGGTATCAGTGATACCGTATCACTTACTTTGTAAAACTTGAATTCCCCTCATAAAAGTTCTTGTTCTTTCTTTTTTTGTCCCTTTCTCTCCTTCAAATGTTTAGCGAAAAAAACGCAGTGGTTGAAAGTGAAGGTGCGGCATGTTTGAAAATCTGAGATGATCCGGCTGCGGCGAACCTGGCGAAAGAATACAGAAAAACGCTGCTCATCCAGAATAGAAAAACGCGCAGAACAGCTGTTACTATCCAAATTCAGCATTTTTTGATAGTGAGAATTATTAACTTCGATCTTATGTTTCTTCGATCGCGAATGAGACTATCAGCTTGACGTTAGACGACCTTGAGTCTACCGACTAAGCATCAGTTAATAAGCTCAAGTCCGAGGAGAAAGTCCGCTGTTACTGTAACTCAAGGACGACCTGTTTAGCAGTTACCGTATTAACCTAATTTATCGAAGAATTGAAGCTTTTTTATAATAAAAAGAAAAGATTTAGATCAAAAAAGTGCGTTTTGATCATTTCGTCAATGTCGAAAAGTCAAGGAATGTCGGAAATGTCAATAATGTCAGGAGTGTCAGTAATGTCAGCATATATCTGCTATCTTATCCAACTTAGTAAGGGATTTATTTAAGATTTCTATAAGTGACATTTTTGACATTCTTGACATTCCTAACATTTCTGCCTTAGTCATTATCCCCCTGACAAAAAGAAAAAATAAAGCAAGAAACAAATGATTTTTTCCTTCGCTCAAAACCGCCTCCTGAAAAAGAAATTTCAACTGCATCAATTATCTTCAACTCTTCAAGTGTTTCTTTGTTGTTCTCTTTTTATTTTCTTCATTTATGATAATTATTTCTCAGGAAATGTTTCTCGCAAAGGCGCTCCTGGAAAAAAAGCTCACCGAGAAAATCAGGTTTTTTCTCGAAAGCTGATTAGGGCGGATGAGCTTGTTAAAAAATCATCGGTTTCTTGCGCACAAGGGGTTCATGAATTAAAAATAAGCTGTACTCAGCTTGGTGAACGAGTGGTTCCAGTTCTTTTTTAATGTTTGGATGAAAAGATAGTCTTCCTTGAATTTCAAATTCAAAGTCGGAACTCGGATCAAAAATCGATATGAAAAAGAAAAAACACGATTGACAAAGGGGTTCTTCCGTTTAACGCAAATTTGAGCATCAAAATAAGGGTGTCAACAAAAAAGGTGAAAACTCTTTAACATTAACTCCGAGTTGAAGGGAGACCCTTAATCAGATTCGGCTTAAAATTTCAAAGACTTACTCATTGGAAATATCGTCAGATCAACAGAGTGTCTTGCTCTTTTCGAGATATCTTCTGAAAGATCAGATACTCTTTGACCCTATTTTTTTGTTCAAAAAGGAATATTATTCTTTATCGACTTTCAGAAGTCTAAAAAGGAAAGGACATTGTCTCGGCAAATATGCCATTTTAATTTTCATTAATTTGCAATAGGAATTATTGGAAATCATAGCCAACTAACAGTTCTTAAAAATACACGAATCGTAACCCTAACCCTAACCGTAACCCCAACCCTAACCCTAAGATTTCTAGAGCTTTTCTTTTTGAACATTTCTGGTGCTGAAATAAGTCTCTTATATCATTCTTCATTTTTTCAGCGAGAAATAAAAGGAGTTCTCTCCACTTAATTTGTCTAAAAGAAAACTACTGATTCAATTTAACTGAAAACGGACGCGCCGTTTTTTCGGGCAGACTGAGCCATCTCGGATAATCGCCAAAAACGCATTTTAGCGGGACTGAAAATCCAGCAACTACAGACGTAGATTTTAAGGGGATTTATCTTTAAACACGCTTGTCAAATTTGGAATACAGTAGATTTTGATCTGTAACTCAATCTTTCTCTGAAAAAAGATAACACGAAGGCCTCAAGATTGGGTTGAAAATTTAATCCAATCAAAGGTCTTTATGGCACTTAAGAGCCAATAAAAAGCAAAAACGTCGTTTTCACAAAAATTTGACCAATCAAAGCGAAGCTCTCGAATTTTTTGTTTCGACTCTAGAAATCAACAGTTTAGGTCAAAAAACCATCGAAATTTCCTCCCTTTTTTACGAAACTCTTAATTTCTAGAGTCAAAACAGAGAAATATTGAGCTGCGCTTTGGTTGGTCAAATTTTTCGCGTAGGCAAAGTCTTTGCTTTTGATTGGCTCTTGCGTTGGAAAAATCTTGATATAACGGACGATTACCTATTTGATTCGCTATCTTTTTACTTACGGACATTATTCGCCGAATTGGTGGAAAAGAAAAAGTTCATTGTTTCGTTGACTTTGTTCTCCCCTCTCTTTTCATTCAGTAAAACAACAGTTCTATCTGAACCTTGCATTTTACTCCTCTGAGGCAAGGCAGACTGGAGTAATTAAATTTCTTCTCATCAAGTGGATTTTCGAAAAAGCTCCGATAATCCGGGGATTTCTGGTTATTGCAAAATATCGACTTGGTGATTTGGAAGCAAGGACGAAGAAAAAAGGGAGTTTGCCGCTAATTGCTGGCAGGGATGACACTTTGGAATGGTCTGAAGGTCGGAGGTCGCGAAGACCGGGCGGGATGGACTTTTTTATCGATAAACCGTTCCTGTCGTGCACGAAGAAAGAACTCTGTCGAAAAGGATCTCTTTCGTCTTTTTTTAAAAGGCGATTCTTCGCTCTAAATTTTTAAATTTTAAATTAAGGGTGTCAACAATGATTTTGGGCACATATTACCCAATCGTTGTTGACACCCTTAAAAAATCAATTAATTTTTGGAAAAAAATTGAGCCCATTTGTCCTTTAAAAATTTTGCGCGGAATGCTTTGCGCCGCGTGGCCCTGGAACACGAGCCAATTTTTGTGGTTTTCGAAGAACTCTCTGCTCCAGTTGCTTTTTCGAGCGTCTTTTGTAATTTGCACTGGGTTGGGCATTTTTCTCTGGGCACGCGGCGGGTTTTTGCAAATCACGAAACCGGCAAAATCCCCAACAAGGCCGAATCAGATAGATTACAATAGTCGCCCCTACTCTGCCTCAGCTTCGCAAAGCCGAGGTATATGTATCGCTACGTGAGTTGGATACCTTTCACATTTGTTACGTAATCAAAACTTTTTATTTTCACATATTGTAGGAGTATTTATTTTGGTTATTTTATTTTTCTGACATTAAAAAATTATTTTAAAAGTGGTATTCCCACGGCACCAGAAAATACTTAATATTTCAGAGTTTGTTCATAATTTTGATTTCAATTTTTTGCCAGCCTTACCAGCTCTTTTCAGAATTATGGTTTTCATGAGAAAAACTCAAATAGGGGATATTAATTCGGGAGGTGTCTGGAACCGACAAAAAAATTTCGAAAAATTTTGCATGCAAATTTTCAACCAATCAGAAACCTTCATTTGGGCTACCGGCCAATCAGCAACCGAGTAGCCGCCCAAACAAAATTTGTCGAAATCATTGTTGGTTCCTGACGCCACCCCCTTAATTACCTTGTCTCCATTTTCACAGATAACTGTAACCGTATCAGTTGTATCAGCTGTATTTGCTCGAAGCATCACCTTTGACATCGACTAGAAATTTATTTTTGAATTTTTGAATTTTTATTTTTGTGTTTTTTTTATGAAAACCTCGTTGAGGATGTCTTTTGAAAAGATATTCTTGAACGAAAGTCCGGATTTTCTTCGACTCTTTTCGGCCATTTCTTTCTCTCTTTCTCTTTGAAAGAAGCCGAAGGCGACTCTGTCATATGAGTAACGTAAAAGTCTTACGAGTATTTCGGACATGTCACATAAGGGTCTGATCGCCAGTTTAAATCAAAGAGAGTCTTACCATTGGAATATCGCAGTTTTGAAACATGTCTTCCACTTTACGCCGTTCTGACATATTTTCACAGGCTAAATTGCTTGTTATCCTCCGGTCAAAGTTATGGACACCATCTTCTGTCAATCAGACTCAGCCGAAAAAAAAGTTCATCGATTTTTTAACGCTAAAAGGTTGAAAAATGGCTTTGTAGAAGATTCATTGAAAATAAAGATTTTTCTAAGGGAATTTTTCTTAAGGGGATATCTAAAATGACGGGCTAAAAATGAGGAGGTGTCAGGAACAGACAAAAAATTTCGACTAACTCCGCATTGAAATTTTCAACCAATCAGAAGCCTGGATCTGGCTCACCGGCCAATCAGCAGCCGAGGAGCCGCCCACGCAAAATTTGTCGAAATTTTTTGTCGACTCGTGACACCAACCCCTAAAATTTTTTTTGTATCAATTTTAAAAATTGATTCTTGACCACTGAAAAGGTAATACCTACGCTAAGGACAAAACTCTGTTACCGTTCTTTATCTTCAATTTATTTTTTTTCTTCTTGTTCTTTTTTTCTCTTTTTGGTTGTTTTATGTCGACCGTAGAAAGTCCTCTATCTTCGCTCCTGATCGGTCGGATCAAGTGACTAGCTAAATTAAATTTGACAAGTGAGAAAGTTCGATGAAAACCTCAATCTTCGATAATGTCACATGAACAGTCGATTTTACTTATTTTGGATTCTTCTCTTGCTCTGCGGATTACTCTCAATGAGATGTTTATGTAAAGCGATAAGCTGCTGTCCGTTTTGGTAGAAGTTTCTGATTGAGAAACTGAATTGATTCATTGCTCCTCAAAATCAACTGCCTTCAGTTTATCAAAAGAAACTTTTAATCTAAACTCGGCAACCTGTGGAGGAATCCTGTGTCAGAGACCCTGAGTGAGGGTCTAAAATATAAAAAAGCGAAGCCGCTTTTCGGCTTTATATACTAAAAAGCCGCAACGCGGCTTTTTCATCAAAAAATATTTGCCAATTTTTTTCTATTTTTTTAGTAAAAAACACCATTTATTGAAATTTTACTCGATATTTCGATTGAACGAATTTTAGATTTCGGGATTGGGATAATCGTCACGTGGAGTGCTTGTTTATAAACGATCTTTGCGGTCTTTGCTTTCGAGTCTTGAGTCTCGACTCGTATCTAGGTCATTCTCAAAATATCCTTGGATGTATCTGTTTACACGATACAGTCCTTGCCTTAGCAGCCCTTTTTTAAGCCTGACTCAGGGTCTCGAAACTAAAAGGGTTAAGAGGCACCCTTATTTGACTCCATAAGGATTGCTTCGGGCATTTTTCTTCTCACGTTTTTCTAGCGCGTTTTTCATCCAAGTTTTTTAGCGAAAAAAGTTTTGTTTCTAAATCCAGTTGTGGATTGACGCAAGTCTATTTATAACTTATAAAAATCTGCTGTTTTGATCGCGTGTTTCCACTTTCTAAAATGAGCACCATGCTCAAGAATCTGCTTGGCCAATAACACCGCCTGATAAGCCCGCCGAGAAGCGCTCAAGAGTTAAATTTTATCAGAAAAAGAAGCAGTCTCCAGAAATTCTGAGAACCGAACTTTATTGACTTAAACTAAGCAGCATATGTTTTTATATATTTGTACATTTCTACTTGTAAATGAACTTTTGGCGGAAGTCATTGTAGAGAACTTGAAAGAATGGAACAGAGAATTGAGAAGAGAAGGAGTTGTTTTGGCGCATTTTAGGACGAAATGGTGCTCCCCTTGCGACAGATTGGAGCGAGAATGGGACAGGAAAGGGTTAAATAATTTGACATTTTGGATTGTGAGTTCTAGAGCGAGGAGGCAGGAGTCGATAAAAATGCGACATTTTGTGAAAGTTTGAGCCAATCAGATGTCCGCATTCTGCCGTAAGGCCAATCAGTTTTCAGAAAAAATTGGCTTATTATCGATTTTTTGTCAGCTCATGAAAAATATTTTTAACCGAATGAAAGAGTTCAACAAGGCCCAGGACTGCAAAAATTTCAAAACTCCTTTGTCTCGACTGTGACTGTCGACTGTACTGAAAATGAAGAAATCTGCAAAAGATACAATGTCGAAAGTTTTCCGTGCATCATTTCATTCTGTGACGGAAACAAAATCTTGAAACTCGACGATGATCAGGACTGGAGCATGAAAAAACTATTTGATGAAAAATAAGCTGTTTTCTCACTCCATAAAAAGCCAAGAACGACAGAGTCTTTTCTCAAATTTGCCCAAGCTTCGATGGATTTTTTTCACGAAAAAGATGAAGGAGTGGCCTTCAGGTTGAAAAGTAAAGAAGAGCTTGATTTCGTTAAGAAATCAAACTATGATACCCTCAATGTTCTTTTTACGCAACATTATGATCTTGAAGGAAAAGCTTCAAAATTTTATCGAATTAGAAAAATTGAGCCAATCAGAATCCTTTCTTTTATTTCTTGTCCAATCAGCGCTATTTTGAAGCTTTTGAAAAGCAAAGGCAAAATTCGAACAAGTAATGGAGCAAGTCAACTTCGCCTTATCTTCAAAAACTCGATTCGTTGTCATGGACTTAGATCTCGTACCGAAAGGGACCTTCAACAGCAAGCCCTTGAGAATTCCTGCTGATAAAGCGTGGGTCGTTAGCTATCAGAATGGAGTAGAAAAGCGAAGGCAGTCCATTGATGATTTCAATATTGGCGATATGCAAGTGCTGAGAAAATTGGAAGTCGAAGCGGAGCCAATTTCGAAGATTATTCAAAAGAGGGTTGAAGCGGAAACTCCCCCAGGAAAGAGTTGATTTTGACTGAGACCTAGTTTTAAAGGTTTTTGAAGGACCAATCATAAACTCATTAAAAGGGGAGCTTATTGAAGGCGTGAAAATGCAACCTGAGGAATATCTTTATATCCAGCTTGGCGAATCAGCTGAGCTATCTGAAGCAAGAAAAACCTGGGAAAAAAGAAATGACCATGCGTGGACCGATATTTGCAATCGACCCGGTGAGTTTTGCTGGACTTTGAATGACGATGGAGAGTGTCAATTGAATGAAGGACTTGCTCAATATATTTTTCTGCTCTAGAAAAAGTTGAATCTAAGTTTTGAGCACGGATAAGACTGCATCTCCGTCGACTGCAGTGAGGACGTCATGAAGATCGAGGTCGACAATGATTTGTTGAAAACAGATGAAAATTATGAAATAAGACTTCTATCGGGTAAGTATTTGACTTACCCTAAAAGATTCACTATTTCTAAGGCGTTGATGAACAATCCTGCATTAATTTTGCCAAATTTTATCAAGACAATAAAGCTCGAAAGTCATTTCTGTCAATTCCTTACGGCGATTGTGGGATGACTGTAACAAGCTCGAGAAGAGAAGATGATTCGCCGACGATTACTTTTGAGCAGATTGTTCGATTTGATACGCTCGATATCAGGAAAGGTCTAACCAAAAAGTGCTTTTCTGTGGAAAAATCGATTTTCGAAGCAAAAATTCATTGGAAAAACCTTCAAAAAGCTTCAAACTCAATGCAAAATGCAACATTGGCGCCGAAGTCACGCTCAAACCTCGCCTCGGTCCAAACAACTCGGACTATTTCAACGTCGAAACCAAAGAATTCGACCATACGAACTCGGTCAACGGCGACTGGGGTCAACTATTCGAACTGATGTTTTTCCAAGACGAGAATTTCTCGATCAAGTCTGATCGAAATAATTTGATGGTCGGGGAACAGATCAATGTCGCGGTTTATTTGGCGAATCAGAACTTGAAGGGGGTGAAATTTTTTATCGAAAGATGTTTTATGGCGAATTCGGAGAATATGTTTTACGATATCATCAGAGGTAAGGGCGTTAGAAACCTCATTTTGCAACCTTTGCTCATGAAATTCTCTAGGAGGTTGTATATCAGAGCTCGTCTCAGGAAGATTCGCCAAAAACAACCCGTATCAAGAAGAAGACCAGCGATTTTCCTTCCGAAGTTTCAGCTTCCGTCGCACTGCTTCTCTTCATCAAATGAACTTCAATTGCGTCGTCAAGATTTGCCCCCAAAGCGAAATCGACAATGGCAAGTGTGGCATTAAGAACTCCTGTTCAGACGGGTACAAATTCGGAGAAAACTGGCTGACAGAGGAGATAGATGAGACAACAAGATAACTTTAATTCGCTTTACTGTAGATAATTTTTGCTGCTTTTTCGAAAAACATGAATAAACATGGACGAAAATGCCATATCGCTTTCTGATTCGCGCGTCATTCCCAAAGCCCCAATATCCTGCAGAAAAAAGCCATAGAATGAAACACATGAATTATCTGAATGAATTACAATTATCTTGATTTCTACCCAGCAGGAAAATTTTGGTCGTTGTTGATTTCAAAAATTTTAAATTTTCAAATGTTCAAAATTTTCTCGACCAAATTTAAAAACAGCTGGTTTTCGCCAACATTAAGTTTAAACTAAGTTTTCTAGTCTTTCGAAAAACTTAAAAAGGACCTTTTCATCCTTGGATTACTATTTACAAACAAAATGGAATGGAAAGAATGTACAGGGAAAAAATGGGCCAGTATTGGCAAGGGAAAGAATTGTTTCTTTTTTTAGACGAAAAACTCGATGCAGCCAGCTTCTTCGCAGGATAATGCTGCTCCTCCTTTATCTTGATAGTCTAAAAATGAATTTGAAATGAAGAATGAACAATTGAAAAAAGGCGGTGAAAAACGATACTGTACCAATAGACTTAGATTTCGAAGTATGCTGCCCTCGAAAGCAGTATCCAGTCAGCATGGAATTGACGCCTGCTTCGTAAAACGTCATTTTTGGCAGCTTGAACTCGGTTCGACAACATAAGCACACGAAGTTCGTTCCGTTCTGGTCTCTTCCCAGGGCGATTACCTAAAGAAAAAAAACGTGAGTTACTGTCATTACTGTCAGATAGCCAAGCTCCCGAATTGGATGCAAGTAAAAAAACATTTGAAAAAATCATTCCCAAATTTATCTTCCAGTAAACTACTTGTTTCCAGCATCGCAGGTCCTCCGGGGTCCTCCATTCGTCACATGGTCAAAGATTAAAAAAAATTTTCTCAGAAGAGATTTCTTCTCAAATAACGGAACTCTTCCAGCAAGCGGGGTCCTCCACTGGGTCCTCCGCTGCTGAAAGAAAAAGATATCCGCTCGCATGGTGTCGCTTATTAGGACTTCTTTCCTGGGCAACCCCCTACTTTTATCGGTATATGGCCGAATGGGCTTACCATATTAGTCGGGTGAGGAAGTAGACATCTCATCTCAGCATTCGAACTCGAATTAGGATTGAAACTTTTGTGGCACCTCGCACAATGTGACTTTTCATCCCTTATGTCGACGAATTTTGGCTCGACTTTGTTCGTCAAAAACGGCTTCGCAGCAAGAAAACTGGATTTCTTTTCAATTTTTGGAATCACGTGAGTTTTGTTCAACTCAATCGCGGGTTTTGCCGGCGCTGGGGTGACTTTTGCGACGATTGGGACGATGATTCGTTTGGCGTTTTCGAACTGCGACTTTGTCGAATTTTCGGAGACATAGCCTTCTGAGCCGTAGCCAGAGCTGGCCTGGACTGTTTGATTCGTCGATTTCTGGAGTGGAGACGGGGAGGAGGAGGAAGGATTGCTGGAGGTAGAAAGGGATGAGTTCTCGGCGGAGGATGATGACTCTAGAGAAGAGGAGACAGCACATTTCGAGTCGGATTTTCTCGAAGTAGAATTTTGAATTTTCTTCGGCTAAAAAGAGTTGCGTTTTGGGGCTTTTCTTCTGATTCGGAAAAATAAGGGTATCACACTAACTAAACGAGGAATTCTTTATCCCCCTATTTCTAACCTGAGATTTGGGAGTCACAGTAATTGGACTATCGCAAATCGAGCTGACAGAGCTCCCGCTCGAAATCGAAATTTCCGGGATGCTCAAATCGTCCAAGCTCTTGTCCGAGTTCTTGTCAAGTAAACTGTCGGAATTGTCCGATTTCGTTTCAATTTTTTTCACTTCAATTTTTTCTTGAAGTTTTTTCTCTTCCTTGATTTCGGGAAGTTTCGAGGTCTCTTCTTTTTGCTTTGGCTTGAGTGGAATTGCGATGATTGTTCTTTTCTTTTGCGGCGGTTTCGTTACATAAGACATCAAGGAGCTAATTTTTGTCGTTTTCACGTTTTTGGAATTGTCGATTTTTGGCGGTGAATTTCCGTGATTTGACGAAGATAGCGGATTCGTGATTTTCAATAATTTCTCGATCATTATTTTTTTCTGCTTTTTCGAGCGACTTTTTTCTTCTTCTTTTTTTCTGAAAAGGAATAATTAGAAAATGATGGAGGGCGAGAAAATAAGAGGGGAGATATTATAATTAAATTTCTGGGAGAAAAGTGAGAGAGCGAGAAACTTTTATTTTGGTTTTGTTTGAGAATACTCTAAAATTGATGAAATTAACACCTTGACTCGTTTGTGGCTGGGGAGGGTTTGATTTTGGCCACAAATAAATCAGCTATGGACACTAGAAATATATTTTTTGAGAAAACTGAAAAGTTCTTGTTTCAAGGAACGAGTATGCTCAGCTGAAAGAGCATCCTCGATTACGTATGCTGACTCAATCCGGTGGGGGCTGAAAACGGAAATTTTCGAAAAAATGGGGTCGAAATCTCGAAAATGGTGGTTCTTATGACGCCAGTTTTGGGTACTTTTACTTTTCCGTTTTAAAGGTCAATAGCTCATTTTGTAGCTCAGAGCCTGCGCTTCGCTGCAAGGTATAGATGAGCCGGTCAGTATCAGCCAAAAATTTTTTTCAGGACCTGAGAAGGTGGGTTACTTTTTCGCGATAAGCATGTCCCTTTCTTCTTTGATTTTGGCTAATTTCGTTCTATATCAGGGTTGACTGAATAATAATTGTTATAATTGCCACTTATTGCCACTTTCTGCCGGAGGACCTCCCGGAGGACCCTCTTCCTGGAAGACTAACTGCTGGAAGACCAATATAAAAAAAAATAAATAAATAGCCTTGCTTGGCCACCTATTGCCACATTAGGTCGATTTCGGTCGCTTTCTGCCGGAGGATCTCCCGGAGGACCCCTTTACTGGAAGACCAACTGCTGGAAGACCAATATAAAAAAAAATGAATAAATAACCTAGCTTGGCCACCTATTGCCACATTAGGTCGATTTCGGTCGCTTTATGCCGGAGGACCTCCCGAAGGACCCCCTTACTGGAAGACCAACTGCTGGAAAACTTGTGGGGAATGAATCTGTCTCAAGACACTCAAGCACATTAAACTCAGTCAGGGAGGGGGCCAAGCCGACCCGTAGGGGAGGCCATTCAAGCTCATTCGATTCAGTAAGGCAGGGGCGAAGCCGACCCAAAAGGGAGGTCACGCCCGTTCATATTATTCAATCAGAGTCAGGGCGAAGCCGACCCGAAGGGGAGGCCACGCCCGTTCATATTATTCAATCAGAGTCAGGGCGAAGCCGACCCGAAGGGGAGGCCACGCCCGTTCATATTATTTAATCAGAGTCAGGGCGAAGCCGACCCGTTTATTTGATAAAGTCGAAGTTAGGGAAAGGTTTGTCTCTTTTAAAATTTCAAGATCCCGAATATTTCGAGATTTTTCAAATCTTACAGTCTCCCGAATAATCCGGGAGGTGTACAACAGATTCAACGTTCGGGATTCTAAAAGGAACAAAAATTAAAGAAGACGAAAGCCAACCAGAAAAGACTTGTTAAATCCTTTATTTATTCATTCATATCGTTTTATTCATTTTTTTTTCATTTTGGTCTTCCAGCAGTTGGTCTTCCAGTAAAGGGGTCCTCCGGGAGATCCTCCGGCAGAAAGCGACCGAAATCGACCTAATGTGGCAATAGGTGGCCAAGCAAGGCTATTTATTTATTTTTTATATTGGTCTTCCAGCAGTTAGTCTTCCAGGAAGAGGGTCCTCCGGGAGGTCCTCCGGCAGAAAGTGGCAATAAGTGGCAATTATAACAATTATTATTCAGTCAACCCTGATATAGAACGAAATTAGCCAAAATCAAAGAAGAAAGGGACATGCTTATCGCGAAAAAGTAACCCACCTTCTCAGGTCCTGAAAAAAATTTTTGGCTGATACTGACCGGCTCATCTATACCTTGCAGCAAAGCGCAGGCTCTGAGCTACAAAATGAGCTATTGACCTTTTAAAACGGAAAAGTAAAAGTACCCAAAACTGGCGTCATAAGAACCACCATTTTCGAGATTTCGACCCCATTTTTTCGAAAATTTCCGTTTTCAGCCCCCCACCGGATTGAGTCAGCATACGTAATCGAGGATGCTCTTTCAGCTGAGCATACTCGTTCCTTGAAACAAGAACTTTTCAGTTTTCTCAAAAAATATATTTCTAGTGTCCTATGCGGTGGAAAGTAAATGCAATCCCATTTGGATTTTTACCAGATCAAGGATGAAAAAGATCAAAAAGAGGGTTGAATCTATTGGACTTTCCACTATCTTTTTTCTTGAAATTTCATATGAAATAAGGGCATCACTTCATTAATTTCAATTATTGAAAAAATCGATAAAGATTTCACTGAATGAAAATTATCAAAAGATGACTTTCCAAAAGCTTAAATAATTGATAAATCATGACTTGCGCGCGGTTTTATTACATCTTGCATCAAAACTTGCAAAACTCAAATGGCTGAGGACTTGAGCTAACGTCAGTGGATACTCAAGTTGAGCGTATCAATGAAGTGGAAAACGAGACCTACTCTCGAGAAAGGGGGAGGTCGTAAATCATCCCTCTGCTCAATCAGCCAGCTGCCAATCTGATAATGAGCTACAGCCAGTATTTCAAAATTTCATATTTAAAATTTTTTCATGGAAATTTTTGTCAACGATGTTTCGGACCCTGAGTCAGGTTTTCAACAAAGACTTTCGTCGTATTTTTGTGTTATGTTTTCAATGAAATTGACTCTTTACGAGTGATTTATTTTGATAAAACTGCTGGAAATAAAACAGAACGGGTAGAATTCATCGAAAAATGGTGCGGTGTTATTTTTAGAGATTGATTTCTAAAGCGCTTCCCGGAGCAGCGGTTGAGCTTTTTGGGTTGACCAAAGTGAACTCTACAAGCTCGGCCAGATTATGGATTGAATCATCGGATCAACTAACATACCCTCTGTGGCTAGAATTATGCAAAACCCGTAAAATGTTCTTTTCAAGCGATTTTTTTTCGTTTTCCTGAGAAAAAATTTGATAATTTTGATAATTTTTTTGACTTTTGGACGAAAATTCTCTCAAAGCGAATTAATTTCAACCTGTTGAATTTTCCAGGAGAAGATTTAACCGCGTGAAAATTCAGCAACGTGTGAATTTCCCTCCCCCTTCCCGAGATTCCCGATTTTGGAGCGCTGGAGCTTCACGTTTTTAGCGGATTTTAATGTGAAACCGCGAGTGTAAGTGCTGGGGTGTGATTCTTTAGTAGATGACCGTTTGGTAAATGGAGTTTGGTTAGAATGGCGCTGCCAAGTCTCGGCCCGGCCACACTGTGAAATGCGCACGGCTTCTAGGAAATCATTACTAAACAGCGAAAACCAGCGAGATGGCTTCTATAAGTAATTGCATTCTACATTGACTCGACCGTTTTCTACGCAAGAAACTCGAAAATAAAGCGAATAAAAAATTTCGAAAAATTTAAAAAGATGATTTTTTCACCATTTTCGCTGCAAGGCTTGGTTCCAAACTAATTAGTAATTACTGCCTAGGTTTGGTTATCATCTACTCTAGCGGAAGTGACGTTCACTAATTAAGGTGCTTCCCCCTTTTCGGATAAGGCTGGACGGCTGCGCCCTCGATTGTCCCACTCGCTTACGTAAATTCCGGAAGGCAGGGAAAGGCGATTAGCTCACAGCAGCTTATCCTCAGAAAGATAGCAAATACACTGTTGACACCAGAAACCGGCCCTCTCTGTTTTCAATTTGTATTTCTTGAGCCGATAAGCCTTCAACAACCGTTTGCTTGGAAAGAAACGGGAAGAAGAAAATCCACTTTGCGCATATTTTGAAAACATAAATGAATAACAGAATGCTGATATGTATAAATTCAAATATCAAATATTAAGCAAAAACGTGGGTCGTAAATTTGATTAATTCTGCCACAAGGATCAGGAGTTTTGGGGCAAACATTTTTGCTTCAAGAGAAATCTCTTCAAATTCAAACAGTTAGTTCAAATTGTGGTCAAAATGAGATCAAAACAGACCAACTAAGTGGACAGCAAGAATTTTTTAATTATCTTCTTCTTGGAGTTAATTTAATTATTGACCTTTTTCTAGCTGATTTTTCAATAAAAATCAAAAAAAATAGTAGACAAAAATTTTTTTTATTGATTTTTAAACTTTCTGACTTAATTTTGGCTAAATAAAATAAGGGTGTCACAATGTAATATCAAAAAAGATGCCTTTCGAAAGACTTAAATTTATAATTTTTTAATGAACTTTAGGGCCTGTTCTTTCTCAAAAAGCAAGCATTTTGTAACATGAAAATTCTAGCATCATTCAAATATTATTCTATTTATTTGAATCCGCCCTAAATTTGCGCAAATTGTTAACATGATTTTGATTGCTCACAAAAAAAGAACCCAGCTTCTGAGAAAAAACGTCATAACAAGTTTTATTTTACGGAAAAAATGAAATTTCCATGAGATCTGGTTTACTTTTTGGGGTGTTTGAAAACAAGCGCAATATTGAATATTCGGAAAAATAAAATTTTCAAATTTTAAATAAAAATTTTTTTGATCATTTTTTATTTAGGAATCAAACTCAAAACCGGTGGAAACGTAGAGTGGCGCTACTTTATTGATGAAAAAAATATTTTCACTTGACAGCTTCTTTTTTATATTTCGCGGTGACGAGGGGTCGGGACCTCGGAACGCAGCGAAATATTATTTTTCGGGATTAAAAATTTTGTTTAATCTTGAAATGACGAAATTTTGCATACTTTTTCGATAAATATTTTTAGATACGAGCAAGCTTAAGTTACAGTAAATGTGTTTTTTGGCATTTTAAAAATGACCAATCAAAACGCTCGATCAAGCCAAAGGACCAATCAGAAATCTCAGATTCACAAATATTTTTAAGAATTTAAAATAATGTCTTGTACCAGTTAAAACCGGTTTGATTCGCGCGAAACAAGAATTTCTAAGTTGAGAGAAAAAGACTTGACCGTCAAAGTCGAAGAATCTCAAAGAAATTCGATGTTCTAATTACGCAAATTAGTTGCGCCGG